GTCACTGCTCGGGGGGCGGCGCCCTCCCGTCGCCGCCGCAGTGGCCGGCGCCGCAGCGAGGAGCCATGGGCAACATCTCCTCCAACATCTCGGCCTTCCAGTCCCTGCACATCGTCATGCTGGGCTTGGACTCGGCCGGCAAGACCACGGTGCTCTACCGGCTCAAGTTCAACGAGTTCGTGAACACGGTGCCCACCATCGGCTTCAACACGGAGAAGATCAAGCTGAGCAACGGCACGGCCAAGGGCATCAGCTGCCACTTCTGGGACGTAGGCGGCCAGGAGAAGCTGCGGCCGCTGTGGAAGTCCTACAGCCGCTGCACGGACGGCATCATCTACGTGGTGGACTCGGTGGACGTGGACCGGCTGGAGGAGGCCAAGACGGAGCTGCACAAGGTGACCAAGTTCGCCGAGAACCAGGGCACGCCGCTGCTGGTCATCGCCAACAAGCAGGACCTCCCCAAGTCGCTGCCGGTGGCCGAGATCGAGAAGCAGCTGGCGCTGCACGAGCTCATCCCGGCCACCACCTACCACGTCCAGCCGGCGTGCGCCATCATCGGCGAGGGCCTCACCGAGGGCATGGACAAGCTCTATGAGATGATCCTGAAACGCAGGAAGTCCCTCAAGCAGAAGAAGAAGCGGTAATGCGCCCGGCTCTGGTGGGGAGCGAGCGGGGAGCGAGCCGGGAGCGAGCCAGCGGGTCAGGGATGGATGGATGGATGGACGGATGGATGGATGGATGGATGGATTGGTGGATGGGTGGATGAACGAGAATCTGCGCCCGCGAACAAAGACAGAGAACCAAAGCAATGCTTCGAATTTTTAAAACGGAATCTGTGCACCCAGACGCAGGACTAGTGACTTAACCTGGGTGTGTACGCTGACTTGCCAGCCTGCCCTCGATCCGCCCCCACCCCCAGCTCAGGGGACCTTTTGTCTGGATGCCAGAGCTACTACTAATGGGTGGGGGGCGCTGGGGAGTGGACGTGCCTGGCCTGCTGTCCGCCCTCCCGGCCCAGGTGGAAGGCTCAGATGTCAGAGACAAAAGCGATTTCTTCCTCCAGCGGGGCCAGAAGTTCAGGCTGCCCCGCCCTCACTGGGGGCTCCCACCTGTGAGTTACTGGAGGTATGCGGTTCCCAGAACCCTGGGAGTACCTGTTTGGGGGCATGATGGCTGTGGGAGGTGCTGGGGGGGCGGGTAACTGCTGCCCCTTGCGTTCATGGGCTCTGGAAGCTGGATAATTTTATGTCACAGGGCAGGCCCCTGTTGAAATTTCATTTGTCCTGCTCTGGGCCCAAACGAGGTGGGGGTTTGGGCCATGAGAGGACTGCCTGGAACAATACAGCAGCCCCAGAGCTCCGGGCGTTCCGCTGGCCTTGGCTGGTGAATGGCCACGAAGATGCCCCTTTCCTGGTGCTTTATGGTGGCTACGGAAGACCAGTTCGATTGAGAACTGCTTTTCAGCCTGGAATCAGACATCTTCCAGAGGGTTTGGACACTGTCCATGTGTAGGTCATTATCACACAAAGAGACCAATAAAAATTTTAAAAAAAGAAACTGTTGGAGGTGGTGGCAAATGATGTATTTACTGTTTGCAGGATAGTTAAAGGTGTTTAAAGGGTAAGGCTCTTGGCGTAAATGCTGGTTGGGGTGTATGTGTAGATACAGGGACCTCCCTCTGTACTGTGTAATCGGCATAAATACCTAGACCCATATGTGTGGAATCTTAAAATCTCTTAGCCTACTGATTGGTTTGTGTAAGCACACCAGCTGCAGATGTGTGCTGAAATGCAAGATGGTTTTTGCAAGGGATGCCTCTTGTAATACTAACCGCCTGATGATGGGTTTTGGTTTTCAGACATGTTTTTAAAAAAATTCTACAAATGAATACTCACCTTGGAAATATTCACCTTGGCGGGGGGGGGAAAAAGATTTTGCTCTGCCCTTCTAGATCCCTTTACGCTGCAAGTGGCAACATGTTCAGATTTCTAATTTGGTTCATTGTGGCCTATCTGGTTTAAGTATTTCATTAGAAATGTCTCGTTAGAGTATTTGATGTCATGCACCAAAAAGTAAAACCCCACCTTGTTGCAAAAGCCGACCTCGTTGCATGGATTTAAGAGCGAAGGAAAAGCACAAGGATGAGGTCCTTCCTAATCCATTCTTGTGGGAACTGGCCTTCGTAGCAAATGCAGACAATGAGTGCTTGAGATAAAAGAAAGCGTGTGATGTAATGATCACTGTACTCAGGCACTTCACAGTTTACTTGAAAGAGGCTTTGGAAAATAGATAAAGCAAAAGAAGAATAAATACATATTTTTAATAATGTAATTTAAAAATCCTTTATAATCAGGACTGAGTCTTGGTTTGCAGAAGATGTCATTTACCCTGAAACACAGTATCGAAAGGGAAACTTAACACTTAACTGTTTGATTTTTATTTCCTCTTAAAATTCATGTTTACAGGTAGAATTATGTGTATCACCCCCTCCCCTCACTATGAGAAATTTCTTTTACGAAGGAGGCCTATAGAAATTGGGCATGATCATGCTTGGGCATGTGAGTTAGTCAAATTATAAATCCATGCCTATTGTCCATTGCACTCAGAAAGTTAATTTAAGAACCAGAGGTTGAAGTCCCGGCTTCCTGCTTGAAACCCAATTCTTATAGGAAATATTGGAAAAGAGGAAACCTAGCCCATCTTCCTTTTATCTTTTGTCGGTGAATTTGGTACCTCTCCAATGCTGGTCTTTTTGTAGGAACTCAGTAGAGAAAAGAGAGCTAACGAAGTGTGAAAGCCTGCAGGATTTCGGTTTACATATCGACAGCATAGTCACTGATTTCTAAATGGGCTGGTCCCATCATCTGAAGATTCTGTATAGAGTTATTAAAAAAAAAAATCCATCTTCCTTTATTTTCTTCACATGTAACAATTTCTTATGCACTTTGACATTTTGGTAGTTCCACACTATTGAGAGAATAATATATTTATTTTGTGACATTGCCAATGCCAAATACTGTCACCATCTTGTGCTAACCATACTTAGGTTCGAGATCACTGTTCAGATCCTGTCATGCTTAACCAACGAAGCGACATGATTTTGGGTTTTGCATTATCAAGACTTAAGGGTGCAGTCAGCTGTTCGTAATTGTGCAGTAAAGTAAAGCCCTGTGGTGTGTCCACTAATAGTTAAGAGTCTCAGTTGATTTCTGTCATGTTTGACCTAATAATAGCCCATTTTTTCTCTGACCAAACAGAGGAAGCGCACATCAGATCACCTTGGAGTGGTCCTGGGGGAGTTCTCTCCTACATATCATCAGTGATTTATTATACCTCCTGGCCTTTGGAGAATGAATGGGTTTCACACCGAGGAAGTTGGCCTCCCCACGTGAGCTTTTGAAATTGTTTCTCATAGACACAGGGAGGCCGATTTTGTTTCAAACGGATTCTCTTCACAGATTCTCTGTCATGGTGTTGGGACGATGTCTCCTGGTTTCAGTTTTCGTTTCTACTGCTGTAATTCTCTGTCCTGAACATTCTTCTGTTCCTGTTCCCTTTTATATGCATATATGATGCTGTGAACAGAAATAAATTATTTATACAATCAAACGTGTGGGGAAGTTGTCTGGGTGGTTTTTTCGAGTTGCCCCTCTTTCTAGGCCTTCTTTGCTGAGTGAGGGGATGGCTCACGAGATGGTCTCTGGGGCCCTAATGGGGCTGGGCCAATCTCTGCTTTTCTGGCTGAAGCGTCTAGCTCTGCCCTGAGCCAAGGAGTGCGAGGGCTGGATGCCTGTCCCCCTGACGGGGTGCCTCTCCATGGTCCTCAGAGATCCTTCAGGAAGACGGCCTCGATGCCTCGCCTGGCCTCAGCCTCCCAGTTATTAAAAAGGTCATGACTGGGGCGCCTGGCTGATTCAGTCCATAGAGCACGTGACTCTTGCTCTCAGGGTCATGAGCTCAAGCCCCACACTGGGTGGAGAGCCTACCTTATGAAGAAAAGGTCATGACTGTTAATCACTTCCAAAATACTATAAGATTGTGTAAAATTGGAAGTAGCTGTGTGCTAATATAACAACAGTAGTAGTCACAAAGCTGCTCACGGTCTTGGCTTCCTCTGCTCCCGTCCAGGCTAAACCATCAAGATATACAACAAGAATGCAAGACTTGAGTCCTCTGACATAGTAGGCGCCATAAAACCATCCTGCTTTGTACGCGCTGTTGGGAAAAGGCCCACCCTCTGGAGAAAAAGTGATGGGGGCAGAATCAGGAGCACTCTGACAGGTTCAATGCACACGCGCTCCTGGAGACACTCGGCAGATAGTTAGCAACAAAACCAGGTGCTGGCTGGGTCTCAGCTCTGGAGACAAAAGGATCCAGTTTCACATTCCAGCTCAAATGCTTAGGGCCCCATGATTTTACGCAACAGTCCTTAGCCTCTTGAGCCTCAATTTCCCCATATGTCAAATGGGATCATCATGGTTGCTGGGGAGGATATAACACACAATAATTCAGCGAGGTGCTCGCAAAGGGCCTGGCAGGGAACACGGGCTCTGCAGCTTTAGCTTTGATTATGGGCTGCCAGCAAACTGTGGAAGGAGTAATTCAACCTCACCACACGTCTTTGTGTGAGGTCCCTGCAATCTCCCTTTTAACCACACCTCTTGGTGTCCTTAACCTCTGAAACCAAGGCTGCAGACCCCAGGCCCAGGCCAGAGTGGGGTCAAGCCAGCAGCTGTACATTCTAACACCATCTGGGCGTGTGGTCTTCCCTTCCAGAGCAGTGCGGGGCTGAGTGGGGGACTATGGAGTCCGTGGCTCAGACACCCCATCCCTCCAGCCTCCGAGCACCCCCCAGAGTAAAGCATGGATCTTTGATAGCTGGTGGCCCCAAGTCACATTGAGCGTAGAATATGTGCTCAGTACCTATGGGCTGAAAGACTGAATTCTTGTGGGTTAGTTTCAGTCGTAAACTTTAAAATGGGCGTTATGCAAAATAAACGATTTCTCATGAAGTGTTTTAATTAAGTTGAAAATGGACAAAATATTAATATCTTCTTCAAGATCATGTCATGAGATGAATCATTGCTGTGACTTGGGAGAAGGACATTGGTACTCTTACACCTAATAAAACATTTATGAACCTAGTGGTTTTTATTTTTAAAAAATGAGCAAGGCTAGATTTGTATCATTCCCGTTGCTGTAGAAGCTGACGTTTAGGAGCCAGATGGCATCAGAATGGGCACAGGTGCCATTTCTAAGTCCCAAAACCTGAAAAATCTTGAAAAACTATTTGGGGGTCTGTGCTCTCCAGAGGACTAAAAATACTAGAAATCAGAAGAAGCCAAGACTGAAACCCTTATTTTATGGTACCAACATCACAGACTGTTCCGCTGTCCCATCCGTGGGGTAGCGAGGAGAGGCAAGTTATGTGCAAAGAGCAGAGATCTAAGGTGTGATGGTGTGAAAGAGGGAGGTGAGAACACACCCAGAACTTGACCCGCCGTCCAACTTAACAGCGCTTGGCCCGTGCTCTCCATTCCCAGCTCTGCCGAGCGCTCAGCTGATGCCCATGACCGGCATTCACCCGCCAGGAAACACGCTCTGCTGCGTCAGCTGACGTGAGAGCTTTTCTGTTCTCTCCTCGAACTTACACCCCTCGTCCATGGTCACTTCTCCTTAAACAGCCTTTTCCACCAGCTCCCCTGGCTTAGTTGAGACCTTTGAAGAATAGCATTCACGCAAGACATTGGACCACTTCATACATTTGTTCTGCACAACTTCTTATGGAGAATGGGGCTGCTTCTGTTTAGAGGAGATGGCAGACTGAGGGCTTCTGAGAAAGTGGCGTGTTGCTTCTTGGCCAAGATTAGAAGATGTGAGAATAAAAGAGCTATGTGGTTTAACCCCAGCTCGGGTTTCAGAACATGAAGTGGTTTTCTTCAAATGGTCCGACCTGTGGCACCGGGCATTAACTTCTCCTAATGAGAGCATCACAGCAGGTGCATTCTCCTCGGAGGGTGACAGCAAGCCATGGGAGAGAGAACCGAACCAGGTTATTTTTCAGAGGTTGCATTTGTACATAGGTTTGAGGGGACAAGCATCTCTTCGGTATTTATCCGTTAAAATTACTGTAACATAGTCATGTGAAGTATTTCTGTCCCGCTCTATCTCTATTCCCCGTTAGTCCTGCATCATCATCGTGACTATAGCCATCGCCAACCTTCACTGAGGGCTCACCGTGTGCAGGACTCCATAGCCACGCTAAGGGCTTGATCTGCTTGTTTTTTTGTTTTTCTCCCAAGAGCACCAACAGATCAATTCATTAACAAATAAATGAATCACTTGATTGTATCTGCACTTACAGATGAGACGGAGGGGAAGAGATTCGAGAATGCCCTCTGAGCGCCGGGTGGAGCCCCAGGTCCCTGAGCCCCAGAGGCTGAGCTCCCGGTGGCCCCCAGTCTGCTGCTCCTGGAGTGGGAAGGCCAGCCATTGAAGGAAGCCAGGAATCTGATTTCAGGGAGTGGAGGATGGAGGCTGGTGTCCTGCCTGCAGGGCCACCCTCCTGCACCCTCCTGCCGGGGAGGGCCCTATCTCCACCCTGGCCCCAGAACTCACACCCACCACCACTGACATACCTGACCCCAAGCCCAGAGCCATGCCTTCCCTCCCTCGAGAGCACAATCTAGGGTCTAGGAAAACACAAGCTCTCTGGTACCACATTCTGTCCACGAATAATTTTATTTCCAGTATTTCCTTTCAAAAGACTCTTTGGGGGGTGCAATGCCTCCCCACTTCACACAGGGGCATTTACAGACCCTGGGGAGGGGGGGACATGGGGTATCAGTGTTCTTGCTTTGGAATGTGGTCTTGACATCGAACTCTCTACCAGAGTCCTTCGTGAGGCTGAGGATGCTGGCCCTGCCCGTCCCTCAGGGTGTTTTCAGAGATAAAATGAGATACTAGGTGGGAAAGCACCATGCACACGGCAGGTCCAGATGCGTGCAAGGTTGGCACAGCAGGCCTGGACTGTGGCCCCTTCTCTCCTGTGCCAACTCTAGCTTCCGGGACATTATGTTCCTCCTGTTGTTAGGGACAAGCTCAACTGCCCCCGCGTTCCCTCTTCATTTTCGCTGATGAGAAAACATCCACCTCCAGAGTAAACCAAAGCAGACTTCCTGGAGGGAAACATCTCTCCTTGTGAGTTTCTGGACACAGAAACTTTAGCGCGAGTGTCCATTAAGTGACTCTTGAGGAAAATTAACCTCCTTATCGCTGTCCTTTGCAGGCTTCTCCTTCTAATGGCCACGCATGATTGTTATCACTCCTTAAACACCAACTCCCTGTTCAATTAATTTCAACTGCCCATGTCTCATAAAGCTAAAATGATTTCAATGTATAATTTAAAAGTCATCATGGTAAGTAATGACAACTGCGATGCTTATTTCATAAATATTTGAGTCCACTATTACACAGATGAACTTTTGCAGTGCTACGTAATTTGCAGTGTGCTGGGATGTCATATTCATCATGTAAAAAAGGCTGTTAAAAATATCTGCAAAGAGGGGCACCTGGCTGGCTCAGTCGGTAGAGCATGAGACTCTTAATCTCAGGGTTGTGAGTTGAAGCCCCATATTGGGTGTGGAGCCTACTTAAAAAA